GGTTTAATGAAGAATGATAATGGGACCTGTTTAATCATCTTGTTCTAAGGTGGTTTCACGGGAATATGAATGTAATTGTTACTCCACAGGCTGCTCTGCATTCATTTTAGGAAAGGAAACCCAAGATAAGCTATAAATGGAAGTGAATAAATAAATTGCTTTAACTCTCATAGCATGTATATGTTATATAATTGTCACATTGCAAGGCAGTGATCAGTAGCCTGAGGGAAGCAGACACTTATTTCTCTGTATAGGAATGGATCTTTGCAAGAATCCAAAAACATATCCTGCAAAATCACAAAAACACAGATTTCATGTTGGCTTACAATGGCAATAGATAAGTGGAAACATGGGATTTTCCAACATTTGCCTCTCGGATACAAGAAACATTTGCAATGAATTCTTTAGCCTTCCTAGCTGTGTGCTCTACACTGCCTGATCAGGGCACAGATTCCTCAAACAATAGACAATAATGATACAAAGCTGTTACCATAATCAATTTGATCCAATATTACAACCACTGTACCAGCTGGGGAGAAAGGAGCAGTGCAAATCCAATTCATTTTGACCGGTACAGTACGCTGGCAGGTTATTTTGATACATTGCTAGCAGACAACACTAAACAGCTGAGCAGAAGTGTTAAATGGAAGCCTGACACAGGTCTGAGTGATGGTACAATTGCAGCACTGCTGTCTGGACAAGTTTAGAAAAGCTTGACTGCGCTAGTGCAACTTAATTAACTGTGCTCCATCCCTTAATTTGAATCAGGCATTTCAAGGCTACAGGGCTATGCTGTGCTGCAGAGGCAATATTTGTCACTATGTTACAAAATATACTTATTATAGCCCTGCCTTAAGGAATGTACTGACAGGCTAAAAGAACAGAGTCTTCTTAATTTTGAACATAAGGGAGTACATGTACAGTACGAGGGAACCAGACTCAATATCCTCAGAGGCACTGAGAAAGTCAAAGCGATGGGACAGAATCGACTACAGGGAAACGTTGGGGAGGTACATTTCAAACTAAGAACAGGAGGTGCTTTCGGTTGTGGTAGTGTGGAACAAGCTGCCCAGGTTTGGCTGCGGATGTTGTCAAAACCTGGCCTCTTTCAAGAGACATCTGGATGAGACCAGTGAGGTTCGTTACTAGCAATGAAATGATCTCAATTTGAGTTGACTGGTCTCGCCTTGTTTGTAACCTTTCTCATGCTTTTGTCTTTCAAAGCAACTGAGACCGTGTCGGACATCATAAAGTTTCAGACATCCAACCAGCTCACTGTAAAATAATTATACAGTTGCGTTTGTTTTTTTCGTATGCTGGGAAATAAGTACAAATTTTCATTTTGGCATTTTCACTCAACTTACAGCTCCCGGCCCCTGCAGAATGCAGGCCACTCTGAGGCCATGCCATAACCAAAGGACTGAGTAATTCAATGCCTCAAACAGTGAAGTAATCCTAGCCCATATGTTACATACTATGAATTGTCCAGCTGAGTGAAAAGAAGGCATGAATGAAAATCACAATCTCTTGGGATGCTCCCCCCACACAGAAGGTCAGATTTAATGGACGGTGCCTAAAAATTGGATGCTTCGTTCCTAAATTATTCATTCTTCTCCATTCGGATAAGAAAACTCCCCCCATCTGAGAGGCACTCGCAGAAGGAAAACCTTTTTATTCTGTGTAAAGGCACATTGCTAGACATCCCCACTGACTCCTTGTTTGTCTTTTTAAAGAGCAATCAAGCACCGTAGCAATCTGTCATAACCGGGCAAAGCTCAATGGCTCACTGGAGAAGGGCAAGGCTGCTATTGGTTTTCTGCGTTGTCGGGTTCATATAGTATGAATGAACCCATTCAAATCTTTTTTTTCATAACAGAAAGGAAACAGTGGAGTTCAAGTGCCCACTTTTGTTCAATCATCCTTCTTCATCCTCTCATGCCTTATTTAGCACCATCACTTCTTCTAAAACAATGTCAGCCCATTATCTTCAGCTCATCCTGTTGACTGCTGTTTTATCACAGTGGATTGGTAATATAAGGCTACAGAATGCAACAGTCTCGGTTTTACCTCCATAGCTCACCGAGTACTTACCGAATAAACCCATTTGTCTAACGTTGCCTTTAAACAAAAGCCCTCTAATTTCCACAGTGACGCATTTCCACTTTGTAATAAAAAGGGAGGCAGGGTGGTCGATGAGGATTAATGTTTTATTTTCTTCATTCGGTGACTACGACAGGAAAAGTGGATGGGGGGATGTTGCTCTTAGTGTTCATCTGCGTTTCCCTCATGTAGCCAGACAGCACTTTTCCAGATTAAAAGGTGTTCATCTGAAGGGACTTTATCAGGAAGGGAGGACTCAAAGGGGTCAGCAGCTCCTCCCCCTCCAGCTGCTGACAGATCTGAACTCAATTCTGGTCTCTATAGCAACACGTTCTTTCTGTGAGAAGCGGGCTTCACTGACCCTTTCAGCTCGGTCCCCTAAGTGATGCTGGCTTTATTTTAAATATCACCCTCACTGCTTAGGGCATTATGCTGCTCAGACTCACTCTTTAAAAAGGCGTCTGTTCACAGTAGCAAAAGACAAGGAACCTTCTATGGTGACTCCTCAGTTAATACCAAGCATCCACAACTCCAGGTAAGATATACTGTCTGAAGCACAACTCATAAGTACTTTTCATTCAGGTCTTTCATTTAATTTGAAATACAACAGCAGATAACGTAGGAAAACTGAATAACAACAGCAGATACTGTATGCACCTTAAGATACACACAGGCCTCAGTCACCTGAAACCATAAGAAAACACAAAAGTTTTATTCAGAGGTGAGGCCATTCATCTCATTTTATTTAAATGATTCTATTAACTTTAAGATGTTTTTTTTTAAAGGATCGCCACAGATTTCCCATGAAAACAAAACATACGATACAGCCTCCTTAAGTGGGGATGTGGGCAGTCAGAAAAACAGTACCTACTAGTCTCCCCTATCTGCATCCCCAGATATCTACTGATGTAAGAAGCTGTGCTGGCAAACAAAACTCATTTCCTGTCACACTACACAGCAAATAAAAGCACAAAGACACACTCTCTTCTAGAGGCTGGACTGGGTAACCACAAGGATGAAAATGCAATAAAAAACGAAAGAAACCGGAGAATCAGTCATCCACAAACAAGATTCTGAAGGCAGACAAGGAGAAATGTGTTATTAGCAGTTTTGCATAGCTTAATAGAAAACAGAATTAACTTTTATTTTAAATTATAATTACTCCATTTTCCTAGTGTTTAATAAGGACCAGAAAATGTCTCTTGAACTACATGCGAGGAGTTGTATCTCTCTGTAGGCAATACAACAGTACACCTGTACTCCATGTGGCTGTGCCATTCGGCTTTTAGCTTTTTTATCTGTAAGCAGGTGTATTACAATGGTGGCATAATGTGGATAAAGATTTTTTTTATTGCAGTGCACACCATGACAAACTCCTGAAAACATGGCAGACATGTTTCTGCTCCCAGCTCCGTTTCATCAGTCATAATTAACAGGAAAGGTCTGGTTATGTTTTATTTTGTGCTTGGTATCAATTTTGTTGTGAAAAATGCCCCGAGGTCGTCGGTTTCCAATAGAGAACTTTAAAACTGCTGCAAACCTACAGTAAGGATTATGGCCCCTGCAAGGCCCACCTGTCCCTTGTCAGAAATGGCAGAGTATACTGTATATCCGTCTGCCTTCAGACAGCAAAAGAAACAAAGTCTGCAGCAAAAAAAACAGCATTTATTATCTGCTAGTACCTGTTTTCCACAAGGGAGTACTTACTCTTTGACAAAGTTGTGTAGCTGCTGCTTGACGGATCTCTGCGCTTGATCGAACAGTATCTGTGAAAGAAAGAGACATTAAGCCTTCATCAAATAAACAACTGGACGTCTACAGACTGAAAAATGAGCAGATGCTCTAAAATGCTAAAGGTATTTTTGATCCCTACAGTCTGTCTTAAGGGAAAGGAATATATACAATAAATATAGCCATAATTTTCAGTTTCATATTGCCATTCTAGCATGTCCCGGCCTTAAATACATTAAACTTGGCTTAAAAACACATTTCTTTCCTATATTTTAAAGCATACTGTAAATATAGCAACTTGTGTTTGTGTGTAGTGTAGCATTTGTATTACCATCGTTAATAAATATTTGTTTAACCAAGTGTGCCTGAATTTTTACTCTTTTAATTTTTTGCTGAGCCAGATAATAAAGAATTCCTATGCTTCTAATGATACCAACCACTCAGGTATGTTCTATTGAAATCACTTACAAGTTGGGGGTTAGGAATAATTATTTACTTATTGACTCAACCGCTCGGTCACTTCCTGAAATTCACCAATTTCATAACACTCCATTTGTAACAATATTTACAATTTGATGGGTTTTTTTTATACATGAAGCTTTAAATTCTCAGTTACATCCAAGAAACACGTCCAGACTGGAGATCATGTCCTGTAGAATGAGGTTAGTAATGAATTCTCCTGAGAGCTGGAGGGGTTTCCTGACTCTCTGATTGAATTATACAGTATGATTAACTTGAAATGTTCCTATTTAGCTTCAGGGAATCTATTTTTTCCCAATTACCGTACGGTGCATCAAGTGTCTATTTAAACAATGTTCCATTAATTAAATCATTAAATATGTAATTAAATATGAGCTTCAGATAAATCGCTAACCTACAGTAGAAGCAGATGTTGACTCGTTTCAAAATATTTACAATATACATAATATATGAACAATTATATGAAAGCATACAAAACAGTGAATACTAAAATGAGATATTTACGAAAAAAGCTATTCTCACATTTGTTTAAACATCCCCTGTGTGAAACTGGAGGACCGTTAAGTGTTAAACTACAGGATTGAAAGGGCAAATTTCAAGTCAAGATGGTGGAAGTCAAGCTCTGGACATTCTGTCGGTGCTGCTGCTATATTATATTTCATCCAGCAGAGGGCCCTATAGTCTTGGCTTGGATAACAGGGTAGCCTTGTGCGAGCCTGGCTGAAGAGAAATTCTTTACAATTCAGAAAATGTAAAAACACGGACAACTGACAATGTTACCCGGCCATGGCTGATTTTGACAAGAAATTCACAATCCTGAAGGCAGGCCTTGGTAAATCTCAGAAGCTGACCAAGGCTTTGAAAGTGAGACATCGAAGGCCAATCGCAACAGTCATGCTTCAGGTTTCTATATGGCAGATGGGGTTTCATTCTAAGGGATCCTGTCATAATGTACAGAGAGGAATGACCTCCATCTATTACTGAAGAAGCTTAGTAGCCTTCCCCCCTTCTCTGCTCACTACCAGACCAGATAAGAACTGGAAAAGTGAGATTGAGATGGCCTGAACTGGACTTTATGCGGATCACAGAGGTTTCGCACCCCTGCTCTTTAATTAACACCACAGGAGTTAAGTGGCGAAGAAATCCTTCAGTATATAAAACTCCTGCGATGAGACAGTAACTCACAGTGCTGCCATACGGCTTCCAGAAATTTCTGGAAATGTCTCTTAAGCAACAACCAGGACTCGATTGCTAAGCTTCTGAGATCTGACAAGTCCAGGCTTCTCAGTGGTGTAACTGGGACTAACAGTCCTCAAGGGCATCGAAATAATGTGCACTTGCAATGGCACAAAACACCATGTTTTCCCTGGCTAACCATCAAGATAAACTACACTTACAGTTTCCCCTTACTCTGCACACTGTATGCAATGCTGTAGTACATTTCTTGCCAAGAGCCTTCCTGAAGTACATACGCTGCTCTGTTCACATGCTTAATTAACTGCACGCACGCCTTAGAAAGTAAAATGTAAAATGACTAATGAAAAATTACTAGGAAAATCTGTTATAATTTCCAAATGAGGTGTGCTCACTATGTGTGTCAAAATTACTCGTATCCATAGCGATGTGAATGTATTACTAGGACAGACACATTTTCCTTTTTGAGGGTATTGACTTTATTGAAGAATTTTTTGCATCTGACAGTGAAGATTCTCCTGAGATACCTCAAACACATTTATCCTATTTAAATATTACGTTAAGCTAAATGCATTTACATTTTGGGGATGATTGATAGCACTTAGAACCAAGAGGTTTTCATAAGATGGAGTTTATTGCTGTATAAACTACAGCGAGTCCCAAATAAGGAAACATCTTGGAATTGAGCACAATTTTGAACAACAGTCAAGCCTCACGTTTGCCAGCCATTGTATGTTTTTTTGTCAACTGTGTTGTTGATTAAAGAACAGTGGGATTTCTTGTCTAGACTTAATATCAGCATAATTTAATGAAGCCAAAAAAGAGGAATTATAATGGAAGTGTCAATAATGGAAATAGCAAATAGCATCTGTTCTGTATACTTTGCAGGAGACATTTGCTTTCCAAGGGTGATGAGGTGCCGCAGTGTTTAGCATTGCTGCCTCAAAGCACTGGGACCCTGCGAGTCACCCTGGGTTCAATTGAGGACCTGGGGTGCTATCTGTGTGGAGTTTGCATGTTCTTCCTGCGTTTGTGTGGGTTCTCTGGCTTCTACTCACAGTCCAGACATACTGGACTAAATACATATAACAATCATCCCTGGAGCAAGTGTCTGTGTCTGTCTGCCTTACGATGGACTGGTGTCCTGTCCAGGGTGTATAGTGCTTTGCGCCTGTTGCTTGCAAGAGTGATGTTATGTAAATGGGTGGATGCACTTTGGGCCTCTTGTCATGAGATGATATGTTAGTTATTGCCTTCTTGCAAAGTACTCCTTAGCCAAAACACAGTGACATCATCGTTACATAAACACATACAGGATGAGTCTCATATGCCTGGATTAAAGACAAGTCTGGCCAAGAAAAAAAAACACTCATATCACTACTTACTCTATTACCATACATTACATGACAAATGCAAATACTGCTGTAATAACAGACAGCACTAAGTGTAGCTATGATGGCCTAAATCTTTTGACATGGATGAAAGCAAAGGGTAAAATTGAAGCAGAATCCTCTGATACCATGTGGATCACAGAAAATCAAACCTGCCAAAATGCACCCCAAGTAGAAAAAACTAAAAAAATGTCTTGTCTCTTACAAGTTAAAACCACAATAACAAAGATCCAAGTCTAAATTCTTAAACATGTAAATATCCTTCCTGGATCACACACTGTTTGGAACATAGTTTTCATCTGACACTTTGTTCAGTGCAGTTACGCTACACTGAACCACAACTGCAAGTCTGCTTCACAAAGGAAACTATGCACTACAAAACATAGTAGTGGGAGACAATGCATGAAAGAAGCTTTGGGATCTCCTGAAATTCTCTCTCCTGGCTTCTTGTGTTCTTATAAATGCTGTTCAGCCAGCATTTTCCAAAAAAATAATCATTTTCAGTCTATGCAGGTTTTGTAAAGTTGACCTTGTAAGAATGCATGTCTCCATGTGGGGTCCTATACCCGGCTTACTGCCAGCAGAGAAGGAGCAGCTACAACTCAGGAAGGTTTGAAATCACTCTGGTCTGCAACAAGACGGATTTGTGTTCTCTGTAGTCATCGCTACAGCGGACAGATACCAATCTACGAGCGCAGAGCTCTGTAGCGCAGAATAAAAAATTAAACGGAATATTAAAAATATTAGCTGCATTAAAATAAAAAAGAGACAGTTCTTAATTTATTTTGTAGAGATCAAAGAAAACATTTGAAAGCCTTCTTGCAAATTGCAGGTTTTTTTATTGTATAGGTCTCTAAGAAAAAAGGGTCACAAGAACAATTCTGAATTTAATCGTACTGTATATCAGAGGGAGGCAGCTAGAAGTTACAAATCCGGGAAATCAAGTTAACATTTTTGTAAAGTAAATTTATATCATACTGTACATTGTGGAAGTCAGATTTATTTGACTGAAGCTTACATGAATCTGTCTTTAAATCAATAAGCTTCATCCCTCCCCTGAGTTCACATACGCTTCAGATTGGCACAGGACAGAGCTGTGTCTGGGCCATCACTGCTTCCAAAACAGCTTCTACAGGTGTGCAGCACAGTACAAGGGGGCTTTGCACTGTGGGCTGATTTCCACTGGGAGCTATTGTGCTCTTGCCAAACTCCCCCCTGGTTTTGTCAAATATGAGCCAAATCCTCCAGATGTGAGACACTAACTGTCAGATAAATCCCACAGTGTGTTAAAGAGCAGGAAGTGTGGGATTCTGAAAACAAAATTCAGCGTTTTAGTTTTGCACACACTGCCACGGCTGTTTAAGTGGCATACAAACTCATGTCTCTTGCTGCCATCGACCAAGCCATGACTATATTTCACAGGAAAGAGCCACAGTCTTCCTGGTTCAGCTCTGCTATGGCCTTTGACCCTTTTCAGAAAATCAGAGACTTTTCTGTTCCCCGTGAGATCTTGGAATATCGTATTGCTGCAAGGCCAGCCTCTTTCCTCCAGGACAATCTCTGGCTCAGCCCACCTCAGGATGATGATGGTCAAGTTTGTAGCACATTCTCTAAAGCTGCCACATGGCACGTTCTTCACCAGATCTTTAAATGTTAATTACAAGCAGAAGAATGAGCAAAGAAATAAACTGCTCATTCAAGTCCACTAAAAAGGAGCAGAATTCACCAACGGACTAATGCAAAAATACAAAGAGCTTATATATTGTGTAAAACACAATAAGTTCGTTACAAATCTGTGCAATTAACCTAGGGCTTCTTGGTAATAAGGTCTTCATCCAGATAATGAGAGTCTTCAGTAAGTTGGGAGCAGTTTATTGTTCCAAAATTTTAATACTGTTTGTCATGACGGCATCATTCGGCTAGTAGTTGCCCTGGAAAACCTTCACATTCTCACAAGTGCTCACAGTTTT